CAAAGTAGTGCTCTTTTATATTCATGAATTCGTTTGATTTGTACATCAAATATTGATTCAACATTAATTTCAATATTATATTCATCTTCAAGCATACGAGCTAATCGTAATTTATTTTTAATCTAATGTAATTGAAGAGAAAACATTTTGTTTTTGTTTTCTTTAATTTAAATTAGAATATTTTGATTACTTTAATCTGTTGAATACGTGAAAGAATATTTTTATTTAAAGCATAATGACGAAAAAGTTGAAGTGATTGATAATTATTTCGTATAAATTGTTCACCTATACATTCAACAATTAAAGAAAATAGATCAGGATTACAAAGAGCAAGCCATCGACGAAACGTAACACCATTTGTTTTATTTTGAAATTTTTCTGGTGTTAATTCATAAAAATCTTTAAACATAGATTCACGTAAAAGTTTCGAATGAAGTTGGGCAACACCATTGACGGTATGTGAACCAATTATGGATAAATAAGCCATATTTATTAATTGAATAGATCCTTCTTCAATAATAGACATACGTCGAATACGATCTTCATCAAATGGAAAACGATCTCGTACATTTTTTAAATGCCGAGCGTTTATTTCGTAGATTATTTGTAAATGACGTGGAAGAAGTTCTAAATAAGTAAAAAAAAACAAACATTGTTTTATGATAAATGCCGTAAAAACTAATTGTTTTCAGCTATTAATTCGTTTGTGAAAAATTCCTTTTTTAAATAGTCTAACAATTCTCCAAATATGGAAAGCGAATATTAGAAGTATGGTCTTCTTCTTTTTACAATATTGAATTTTGCTTCGTTTTTTGTTGATCTACACCATACTTGAAACCGGATCGGCCGATTTTTTTGGGTCACTAAAGCTGACCTATTTTGCTCGTTCTTAACGATTTTCATGCCTTTAATGATCAAGAGATATGAGCCTGAAAATCTTCAACTGACAAATTTCTCGTCATCGTCAAAATTCTAAATCTAAATATTAAGCTAACACTTTCTCAACGTAGGGTGAAAGCCTCGGCTCATGCTAAATGAATTTAGTATACTCACGAAAAGTTAGACAGGTATCGATACTCATAAAATCCTAATAGGTAATAGTTGATAACAAGACAGATGAACTTCGACGGATTATGAATATGAAAATATTATCATATATAAAACTTTTATTCAAAAAAGAACTAAAAATTAAATAAGACTCTCACTCTCTTGAAATATTCTTTTCTGGGATATATAACAAAATTAACGATCAAATGTTGTAGTTGCTGGTCGATTTCTTGATATAAGATATGGGTGTGGATCTTCTCTTCACAGACGCCGATATCCATATCCTATCGAATCTTAGTGAATAATGCACATAAGGTTATTATTATTTTTTGATCAAAATTGCATATGAAAGGCTCAACTATCGGTGTATCTTTAGTTCATCTTATCTTACTATTGGCAATAGCATTCTGTTACGAAATGAAATGCCTTTCAGTTGTGTTCAATATTTATTTCAAATAAAAATAGATTAAACTTATCAATTGTAAAGAAATCATATTATTATTGAAAAAAGTCAGCCAAAACATAGTCTA